TGCTCCCAAAGTGAGCATGGGTTATAATTTTAAAAGGGGTCAAGGTAGGCTTCCAGAAGAAGACAGTATTTGAATAAAGTAGTGGCTCTCAACTGGGGGGCAGTTTTGCCTTGCACAGGACATTTGGCAATATCTGGAGACATTTTTGGTTGTTATCACTGAGGGATGATTGGGCAGTGCTACTGGCGTCTAGTGTGGGTAGAGGCCAGAGATGCTGTCAAATGTCCCCCAGCACATGGGACAGCTCCCCACAACAAAGAATTAGCCCCAAATGGCAGCAGTGCTGAGGATGAGAAACCTTGCATTTAAAACTTAGAGGCTTTGAGGGGGTCGGCTATGTAGAGGTCTGAGGGTGGAGCTTTCTAGGAAAAGAGAAAGCCCATCCTAAGATGGGAACGTGACAGGCTTTTTAGAGGAACTGAAAATAGGCCCAGAAGTGTCAGACATGGGGTAGGATGGTTAATAGGAGCAAGATTATGTAGTGCGTTGGAGGTCATTGTAGGGACTTTGGCTTTTATTCTGAGCCATTGGAGGTTTTGATGGGCAGGATGTGTCATGATATGATTTGTGTTTCACAGAATCACTCTGGCTGTTGTGTTGTGTATGGATTATTGGAGGACAGGATAGAAACAAGGAGAGACCAGTTGGGAGGCTGTTGCAGTAATCCAAGTGAGAGTTGATATAGAGCAGTGACAGTACTGGTGGAGATGGATGTATGTTGAATTGCATAACAAGGTCATCATTGGTGACCTTCACATGAACCATTCTGGTGGAGTGGTGGGGACCTGATTCTAGTGCGTGAATAGAAGGAGAGGAGTGGAAGGCAGTGAATATATATGGTTCTTTTGAGTTTTTCTACAAGGAGGAGCAGTGAAATATAACAGTGGCTGGTAGGAATAGTGGGGTCAGGAAGTTCCCTTTCTTTGTTAAAGGTGGGAGAGTAAGAGCTTGCTTATATGTTTATGGGAATGTTCTAGTAGTGAGGTAGGAAAATGATGGTGCAGGAGAAAGAGAAGGGAGAATTGGTGGAGTAATGAGCTTAAATCAGCTTGTGTCTTTTTTATTCCTTTATTTCATTTTAGTAGGATTTCTTTTAGAGAGAGAGTACGTGCACACATACATGCAGGGGCAGGGAGGGGCCAAGGGAAAGGGAGAGAGAGAATCTTAAATAGGCTCCAGGCCCAGCGCGGAGCCCAATGCGGTGCTGACCTCACGACCCTGAGATCATGACCTGAGCCAAAATCAAAAGTTGGACGCTTAACCAACCGGGCCACCCAGGGGCCCCCATTTTAGTAGGATTTTTATAAGGAATATTCTGTTATTTTAACTAGAAGCCCCTTTCGCTCATCATAGTTAGGCCTTGCTATATAGGAATAAGAGTTTCAGTCTCCATTTTATAAATGAAGAAACCAAGGTCTCAGTTCATACAGTGGCAGAGCTGTATTTCATATCTATTTACCATTATCTTTCGGGTTGGACTCAGTTTTTCAATTTCCTATCCTTCCGGGACCCCAGTGATCTTTGAATCTTGCTTCCAGAAAACGTTGCTTTCCAACCAGCCAGTAACCAACAGTTGAACCGGTGTTTTTTATTAAAATCACCAACCTCAAAATTTGAAAAATATGTTCAGTGTAGTTAAGCATATCTTATATTGCATGTTTATGACAGTACAGCAAAAGTGATTAAGTGCAGCCGTAGTTGATTTTACCCTCTCAGGCAGCACTTTTTTTTGGTATAACTTCTCCTTCCATGCATCATTTGGGGGTTTGTTTGAAAATACAGTGGAACTAGAACACACGTATTACAAAAATGAAAGGAGCTAGTAAATCAGACAGTGTGTCCTGTTGTGCTAGCCACTGGTTTGTGTTTGAAAAGTTTAGCTTTAAGGATTTTTGCTATCCCAGCTACTAAATCAGGATTGCATCTGACTTGTACTCACAAGGAGGAAATGAAGCATCCAACTAAGCCATGGTGTAGTTGGTACCTGGTTATATGAAGGAATATAGAAATGATGGGTGTATATCAGGAAGTTAAAAATAAGAGTGGAATCATAGCAACCTAGTGCTGTATTAGGAGTTGCTTCCAGGAGGAATTCATAAAAATAGAAGATTATTGTACTTCATAGTGTACATAGAATAAATTAAGACTCTACATAGAAACACCTTTCCTGTTCATTCAGTCATACTTTATTTCAATAATAATTATTGAGCACCTACTATGTGGCAGACTAAGGATATAACTCTAAGCCTTCATGGAGCTTAGTGTTTGGAAAATACAATGGATAATATTCCTCTGTGAGGTTGCAGGGCAGGGATCCTCTTTCTTATATCACTGCATTAGTTTGCTAGAGCTGCCATAATAAAATACCACAGACTGGGCAGCTTAAACAACAGAAATTTATTTCCTCAAAGTCTGGAGGCTGGAAGTCTAAGATTAGGGTGTCAGCAGGTTTGGTTTCTTCTGGGCTTCTCACTTTGCCTTGCAGATGGCCACTTTCTCACTATGTCTTTACATAGTCTTCTCTCTGTGCACATCTGCATCCCTGGTGTCTTTGTGTGTGTCCAAATTTCCCCTTCTTATAGGGATAACAGTCATATTAGATTAGGGTCCATCCTAACTACCTCATTTTAACTTAATCACCTCTTTAAAGGCCCTATTTCCAAATACAGTCACATTCTGAGGTGCTGGAGGTTAGGACTTCAACATACAAGTTTTAGGGGACACAATTTAGCCCATAACCCTCTACCCGTTGGACCCCCAAAATTCATATTCTCCTTACATGCAAAGTACATTCACCCCTTCATAATAGCCCCCAGTTTTTTAAGCTCTACACCCAACATGGGGCTTGAACTCATGACCCCAAGATCAAGAGTCACATGCCAGCCAGGCGCCCCCAACAGCCCCCAAATTTTTTAAGTTTTGTTTTTTTTTTTAAAGATTTCACTCATTTGCCAAAGATAGAGCAGGAGTGAGAGAGAGTGAGCACGCAAGCAGGGGGAACAACAGGCAGAGGGAGAAGCAGGCTCCCTGCTGAGCAAGGAGCCCAATGAGGGACCAATCCCAGGACCCCAGGATCACAGCCAAGCTGAAGGCAGACGCCCAACCAACTGAGCCACCCAGGCGTCCCCAGCCCCTAATTTTAAACCCATTTCAGCATCGACCCTAAATCCCAAGCCTTATCTGAATATCATCTAAATCAAATGTGGATGAGACTCAAGGCATAATTCATCCTAAGGCAAAAATCTTCAAGGGCACCTGGGTGGCTCAGTGGGTTAAGTGTCTGCCTTCGGCTCAGGTCATGATCTCAGGGTCCTGGGATCGAGCCCCTTGTAGGGCTGCCTGCTCCGTGGGGAGCCTGCTTCTCCTTCTCCCTCTGCCCCTCCCCCTGCTCAGGCTCACACTCTCTCTCTCTGAAATAAATAAAATCTTTAAAAACAAATCTTCAGCTGTGAACCTGTGAAACCATTACAAGTTATCTGCTTCCAAAGTACAATGGTGGGACAGACAATAGGGTGAACATTCCCATTCCAAAAGGGAGCAATTGGAAAGAGGAGAGGTATCATAGGTTCCAAGCAAGTTTGAAACCTAGCAGGGCAAATTCCATTAGATTTTAAGGCTCAAGAATTACCCTCTTTGGCTTGATGCTCTGTCCTTTGGCCCAATCGTGTGTTCATGCTTCAGGCCCTGGACATTGGCAGTCTGGCCCACTGAAACTGAGGATACAACCTTGCCCCCCTGGGGCCTGTCCCCTCTGGGCCAATAGTGGGAGCAGCCGTCCTGCTGATCTCTGAATTGCCTTGGGGTCATTCTTCTCTTTTCTTGAAGGATAACACCTGTTGGCAGTCAGATAGGTCTATTGTCCTGTCCTGTGGAATCCCAGAAGTCTGATAGCCTTCCTTCATTATATCTTGTCTCTGTCCCCTTTAGTCAAAGCTGGCGGTGTTTCTGTTGATAAAACTTCATCTCTATTCCTGGCTTCTGCTGAGATGGCTGATTGGATCTATGAGACACACCTGTAATCACTTTATCAAAGGATTGTCCAGCCAGACCTCGGTTTTGCCTCCTGAACATGCTTTCATATTATATGGATAGTCTGAGATTTTTCCAAACCTTCAAGTTCCGGTTCCTTTTTGCTTAACAATTCGTTCTTCAGTGTATCTTTCTCCTCTCCATACATTTTACTATAAGCAGCAAGCAGAAACCAGGCCACACCTTCAACACTGCTTAGAAATCTCCTTAGCTAAATATGCAGGTTCAGCACTTAGAATTTTTACCTTCCACCCAACACTAGGACACCATTCGTCCAAGTTCTTTTTTGCTTTATAACAATCAACTTTTGTCTAGTTCCCAACAGCATGCTCATTTCTTTCTGAGATCTCACCAGAATCACCTCTAATATCCATATTCCTGCTCATAGTCTCTTTAAGGCAATCTAGGCTTTTTCTAGCCTGCGCCTCAAAACGCTTCCAGTCTTTACCCATTCCCAGTTTTAAAGCCACTTCCGTATTTTTAGGTATTTGTTACAGCAGCATGCCACTTCTTGGTACCAAAATCTGTATCTGTCTACTAGGTACATAACAAAGTACCGCAGACTGCGTGGCTTAAACAACAGAAATGTATTTTCTCACAGTTCTGAAGGCTAGACGTCCTAGATAGATGTTGGCAAGTTTGGTTTCTTTGAGGCCTGCCTCCTTGGCTTGTAGGTGGCCATCTTCTGTGTCTTCACATGATCTTTCCTCTGTTTGGGCATCCCTGGTGTCTCTGTGTGTGTCCCAATTTTCTCTTTCTTAAAAGGACAGCAATCAGGGGCCTCATTTTAATTTAATCACCTCTTTAAAGACCTTATCTCCACATATGGTCACATTCTGAGGTACTGGGGGTAAGGCTTCAACATATGCATGGGGCTGGATGCAATTTAGCCCATAACAATCACTCCGCATGAATAATCAGCTGTGAAACTTGTTAGATTTGTCTGCATAACAATACTGTTTTCTTCCTAGTACTATGAAGTATTCCTTCCACAGTACCCAGTGGAGCCCTGCCTTCTGTTCCATGAAGGTGGGTACTGGCGTGAGCTCATAGTCCGCACGAATAGCCAAGGGCACACAATGGCCATCATCACTTTCCAAACCCAGGAATTAAGACAGGTGAGACTCACAGAATGATAAGGGGCGGCGTCCGTAGCAGCTCTTGTTTTCACTATCCTGCAGTTGGTTTTGGAAGTTTCAGGGCAGATAGCAGAAATTACACATCCACAGAATATTTGTATGGGTTGGGAAGAGGGGTCGAGGTTGAGGAGGAGATAGCGAGGTACTCTAACCACGCTGCTGGCATAATCAAATCACAGAGACTGAGGTGAGGTTACCAAGTTAATTATCATGTGAGGACTCCCAAGTATTTTCACAAGAACTTGGCCCGTGGAAGTTGGTAGGTACTCTACTGACTCTAAAAGCCGATTCAATAGAGAGGAGAATATAGTCAGAATTTCATAACTCAAATAATACTTTACATTTGTAATTCACTTAGGGCTTTGAAACATTCCCATGTTAAAATATTCCTGTACTTGGGGCGCCTGGGTGGCTCAGTTGGTTAGGCGACTGCCTTCGGCTCAGGTCATGATCTCGGGGTCCTGGCATCGAGCCCCACATCAGGCTCCCTGCTCGGCGGGAGGCCTGCTTCTCTCTCTCCCACTCCCCCTGCTTGTGTTCTCTCTCTCACTGTCTCTGTCTCTGTCAAATAAATAAATAAAATCTTTAAAAAATATATATATATTCCTGTACTTAATGTGATCATCTCAACCCACCTGTAAAGTAGGTGAGAGAAGGAAAAATATTGTCATCCTCATTTCAGATGAGCAAATAGAGGCACAGAAATACCCAAGGTGAAGAGCCAGTAAATAGCCAAGCTAGGGCTTGAACCCACGTCATTGATTCTAACCTTTTTTTTTGTAATTTAAAAAAATTGAGTATAATTGACACACAATTCCTGTGGCCTTTTATTTTTATGTATGTATGTAGGTATTTAAACAGATATAACTATTAATATCAAAGTAGATTCTTTAAAGATTTTATTTATTTATTTGACAGAGCGAGACACAGTGAGAGAGGGAACACAAGCAGGGGGAGTGGGAGAGGGAGAAGCAGGCTTCCCGCGGAGCAGGGAGCCCGATGCGGGGCTCGATCCCAGGACCCTGGGATCATGACCTGAGCTGAAGGCAGATGCTTAACAACTGAGCCACCCAGGCGCCTCTCGAAGTAGATTCTAAGGTAGCAGGTATTACTAGACATAAAAGAGAAGACTTAATAAAGGTAGAAGGTTCAATTTAAAAGGAAAATACAACAATTTAAAATTACGTACACCTAATAACTGACAGAACTACAGGAAAATACACAATGCTAACTTTAATGGGAGATGCAGTAAATAATGGTGAGCACAGATAATGATAAAATACATTAGTAAGTTTAATCTACATATGTAAAAAAACCCCATTTATTTATTTATTTATTTATTTTAATTCCAGTGTAGTTAACATACAGAGTTATATTAGGCCAGGTATACAATATAGTGATTCAACAATTCTATACATCACACGGTGCTCATCATGACAAGTGCACTCCTTAATCCCCATCACCTACTTCACCCATCTCCCCACCCACCTCCCCTCTGGTAACCATCAGATTGTTCTCTGTAGTTAAGAGTCTGTTTCTTGGTTTGTATCTCTCTTTTTTTCCCTTGTTCATTTGCTTTGTTTCTTAAATGCCACATATGAGTGAAATCATATGGTATTTGTCTTTCTCTGACTGACTTATTTCACTTAGCATTTATACTGCCTAGCTCCATCCATGTTGTTGCAAATGGCAAGATTTCATTCTTTTTTATGGATGAATAGTATCCCACTGTATATATATACCACCTCTTCTTTTATCCATTCATCTGTTGATGGACACTTGGGCTGCTTCCATAATTTGGCTATTGTAAATAATGCTGCTATAAACATCAGGATGCATGTATCCCTTTGAATTAGTGTTCTTGAATTTAAAGAAATGGGCAGAAGACATGAACAGACTGTCTCCAAAGAAGACATACAGATGGCTAGCAGACACATGAAAAAATGCTCAACATACTCATCATCAGGGAAGTGCAAGTGAAAACCACAATGCGATATCACCTCACACCTGTTGGAATGGCTAAAATCAAAAATACAAGAAACAACAAGTGTTGGCGAGGATGTGGAGAAAAGGGAACCCTTCTGCACTGTTGGTAAGAATACACTGGTATGGCCAGTGTGGAAAACAGTATGGAGGGTCCTCAAAAAGTTAAAAATAGAACTACCCTATGATCCAGTAATCGAACTACTGGGTATTTATCCCCAAAATACAGTTCTTGGCCTTTTAACTCTAGAGCTCTAGCATAGTTTATTGTGATCTGTCCTGTGTCAAGCTAATGTTTAGGCTCTCTGCAGTGATGTAAGAATTTTAAAATGTTCTGAATTCAAAGAAAGAATTTAGTTACCCTGATCATTCCCTCCCATGCCCTCTTTCTTTTCTTTGAGGACTCATATCTTTGAGGTGGTATTTGAGTGGGTGGTTGGGATATTTGAAGTGGAGAGGCATAAAGGGAGTTGAAAAGTTATTGCTTTTCATAATGAGGCAAAAACTTAGTTTAGTTCCTTGTTTACAATAGGAATAACTCTCACTTTCTTTAGAAGACTATTAAGGAGGCTCAAATTGGAGAAAGCACCATGTCTACTGTATAGGATTTGTCAAAAGCTGATAAGCAAAGCAATGCTTCTGCTGAGATGTGTAAATAGTGTATTTTTTGTCATGTAGAACATTGCTTTATGTTAAGTGTTATTTATAATAGGATTTGAGAAAGGTGCCTTCTTGTCTGACTATTGCAAGGCTGATTATTATTGTAGAGCTTGGAGAGAAAATTTGTCAGAGATGAGTCTGTGCTTGACTCCTGATTTTGTGATCTGGGTAGGAGGACCTCAATGTTCAGAAGGAGGCTGTCAAGAAGTTTTTCACCACTGGGCCAGGAGCAGTCTGTGACTTGTCATCACTTTACTTCCAGGAAAGGTAAACCTGGGGTAGCCAAGACAGCAAGCAGGGTGGCTTGCCATATTCTGAGCTGTGGCTTTGCTGAGGCAGGGCTGCTGACTGTGGGGGAACTGGGTTAAGTGATAGTGGCCCCTGTACACCAGCCAGGTCCCGGAACCCAGGCCAAATTTAGATGAGAGGGTGTCTGCATATACCTCCATCCCCCGAGAGGGAATTCTTCCAGACCTTTCAGGGCCATGCCGTGGGGGCCGTGTCTCCTGGCTGAGATGCTGCCCACTCCCCCCTGCCCCCCGCAAACCAGTAGAGATGGAATGGTCTGCTATTCCAAACTGCTTTTTTAAAAATTCTTTTCCAGGGGCACCTGGGTGGCTCAGTTGGTTAAGAGTCTGCCTTCGGCTCAGGTCATGCTCCCAGGGTCCTGGGATCGAGCCCCGCGTTGGGCTCTCTGCTCAGCGGGGAGTCTGCTTCTCCCCCTCCCTCTGCCCCCTGCTTGTGCTCTGTCTCTCAAATGAATACATAAAACCTTTAAAAAAAAATTATTTTCCAGCACTATGATGCGTTGCAGCCATCAGCAGTCCCCCTATCAGCTCCTATTTGGGGAACCCCACCTCTTTGAAGATCTCCTGGGCTTGAAGATCTGCATCTCTCCAGATGCCTTTTTCCAGATCAACACTGCTGGTGCAGAGGTGCTATATCGGACAGTGCGGGAGCTGAGCGGAGTGAACTCTAACACCATCCTCCTTGACATCTGCCGTGGAACTGGCAAGTGGCGGCCCAGGGCAGAATCTACATGCTACTTAGCTTCCATCTACCCAGCACCCAGGGCTCAAGTGGGGAGGCGATGGTGGGTGGTGCAGGCATACCATCATTGGTTTAAAATCTTAAAATAGGGACGCCTGGGTGGCTTAGTCGGTTAAGCCTCTGCCGTCAGCTCAGGTCATGATCCCAGGGTCCTGGGATCGAGCCCCACATCGGGCTCTCTGCTCAGTGGAGAGCCTGCTTCTCCCTCTCCCTCTGCTGCTCCCCCTGCTTGTGCTCTCTCTCTCACAAATAAATAAATAAAATAAAATAAATAAAATAAACTCCTAAAATATCCTCCTCTTATCCTCTTCCTTCCTCAGGTGTGATTGGTGTCTCTCTGGCTCAGTATGCCTCGCAGGTCCTTGGGATTGAGTTGGTGGAACAGGCAGTAGAAGACGCCAGGCGGACTGCAGCCTTCAATGGTACACTGCTTGCATTCTGGAGAGAAATGAAGAGCTCCAGTTGCTTCTGTGCTCTGTAAAGCATTGTGTGGGAAAGGGCATCGACTATACCCATGACTGTGCAGAGGGAGGGAGGGTGTCTTGGAGTGATTGGAGTTGGGTCCTGATGGTTTTCTAAAAGAGGTCCCAATAGCTAATCTCCCCCCCCCTTTTTTTTCTATCCAGAAGAAGAGCCCGAGGCAGTGAACAGGCCTAGATGACAGGAAGAGAATTTGGCAAAACTTTGGATAATAAAGAAGAGGAGCCTTCTTGACATTAGACTCATGAGGCATTATAACATAATACAGTAGATTTCAAACAATTGTTAGCCACAAAACCTTTTCTTTGAACAAAATCATATGCCAGACTACGATATAGAAAGCAGATCTCCTTGTTCTCTCTACCCTACCTCCAGACAACTCTTGAGGCTCTGAAAATCTCTAATGTAGCAGAAAGAGCACTTGAGTAAAAGTCAAGGTTTTCTTCTTAGTATACAGGTACTTATGTGCTATGTGTCACTAAGTTTTAAAATAACATGTTCTAGTATCTCAAGCTGAAAGGCCTACTGAGATATTGCAAAGGAAAATGTGTTGGCAACAATGAGGCAGGTCCAAAAGCGTTTTTTTCCTTGTTATTTGGTGGTATGCCAGACCCAAAGGGAAGATGGCAGAGCCCTGGCTCCTGTACATTTCTGTAAAGCTGTAACTTTCCCTCCCTTGCCCCTTTCCTCACTGCTGGGCTTGAGTTTTGACTTCTGTCTTGGGGACCTCTCTTCTGCAGGCATCACCAACTGTGAATTTCACGCTGGTCGAGCAGAGAAGATTTTACCACAGCTACTAAAGTCAAAGGAAGATGGGCACTTCATTGTTGCTGTGGTGAACCCAGCCCGGGCGGGACTGCGTAAGAATGGATAGCTCTCCTGTTAACAGAACTAGTTGGGTGTTCTCATGATGTCCACCATCTTTAGTACCTTAATCCAATATGGTGCTAAGGGGGCTCCCAGTGGGCTGGCTCTGACCCTACTTCTCTATTCCTAACCAATCCTAGGTGCTAGCCAGTTGGTAGTTTCTGATAACCCAGACCATGATAACTTAATTATATTAATAGCGGGGCACCTGGGTGGCTGGCTCAGTTGGTTAAGCGTCTGCCTTTGGCTCAGGTCATGATCCTAGGGTCCTGGGATCGAGCCCCACATGGGGCTCCCTGTTCAGTGGGGTGCTAAACACACAGTGACACATAGCACTCTGCCCCTCCCCCCACTTGTGCGCTCTTTCTCTCTCTGTCTCTCTCTCGCTGTCTCTGTCTGAAATAAAATCTTTAAAACAAAAGTAATTATATTAATAGCAATGTGTTTCTTCCTTCAGACTATCAGGTGGTTCAAGCCATTTGAAACTGTAGGGCTATCTGCACACTGATTTTTGTTTCCTGCAAGCCCCATGGTGAAACCACAAGGAACATCATTGAGTGAGTCTTGACTTCTTTTTTTATCTTATTTTTTTAAAGATTTTATTTATTAAGAGAGAGAGCACGAGAAGTGGGGACAGATGGAGAGAGAGGAGAGGGAGAAGCAGACTCCCTGCTGAACAGGGAGCCTGATGTGGGGCTTGATTCCAGGACCCCAGGATCACGACCTGAGCCGAAGGCGGCCACTTAACCAACTGAGCCACCCAGGCACCCCAATTGACTTCTTTTTTAAATTATTTTTTCCTGATTATCAAAGTAATCTGTACTTACTGTACAGATTTAGAAAACAGAGTAATATAAAGAGACAGAAAAAAGTCATTATACTACTATCAGCAGTTAGTTATAGAGCCAGGTCTCGGGTAAGGCAAGTAAAGCAACTCACTTTGGGTGCAAAATTTAGTAAGAGGGTCCATAAAATCTCAGTAATTAAGATACATTTATAATGCATCATTTTCTAAAGATTTTATTTATTTATTTGAGAGAGAGAGAATGAGAGAGAGCACATGAGAGGGGGGAGGGTCAGAGGGAGAAGCAGACTCCCCGCCGAGCAGGGAGCCCGATGCGGGACTCGATCCCGGGACTCCAGGATCATGACCTGAGCCGAAGGCAGTCGCTCAACCAACTGAGCCACCCAGGCGCCCTTAATGCATCATTTTCAAAAATCAAAATTAGTCCCAAGAAAGCCATGGTAAAAAACACATTAAGATCTTTTTTTTAAAAGATTTTATTTATTTATTTGTGTGAGAGAGAGAGAGCCAGAGCGCACACAAGCAGAAGGGGCAGGCAGAGGGAGAAGCAGGCTCCCCGCTGAGCAAGGAACCTGATGCAGGACTCCATCCCAGGACCCTGGGATCATGACCTGAGCCGAAGGCAGCCACGCAACCAACTGAGCCACCCAGGCGTCCCACATTAAGATCTTTTTTAAAAAAAGCAAGATCCACTCCTGTGCTTGCTAAACCCTGTCTCACTCACCTTACTCTGATCCTGGTCCTGGTTCCAATAAAGCTTTATTTAAAAACAGGGAACCAGTCTGCAGGTTATTTCCAATTTGATTTTCTAAAATACTGCATTAAAATATTATTTGTTTGATTACTGAGTTTTTTGGCACCCTCTTAAATTTTGCACCCAAGGTGAATTCCTCTTTCTTCACTCCAGGTCTGGCCCTGGTCACTTCTTTTTGAATTTTGAAAAGTTTTCTTCCTTCTCTCTGTCTCTCTCTTCCTCCTCCTCTCCCTCTTTCCCTCCTTCCCTCCCTCCCTCTCCCTTTTACATAAGCAATACAATTTGCAATGTTTGAATAACATAGGTGGGTATGAAGTACAGGTGATATACCTGGATGAAATAAGTGAGAATTAAAAGTAAATGAATTGAGCTCTCAAGTCAGTGATCTAGAAAAGAATAATAAACCTTAGAGGAGACTGAAGGGAAAAATTAATAATGTTAGACAAAATCCAGAAATGAATGAATGAACTACCCAACAAAAAAAAACGTATAGACTTGACAAATAAGCAAGAAGATGTTATTAGAAGAAGAAAATAAAATAGATAAATAAATCTAATCAAGAATATAAAGGAATAAAACATAAAAATATAAAAAGTCTTAAATGAGAAAAAGCATAACTACAGCTATGAGGAAGTTTTTATTTATTTTATTTTATTTTTTTAAAGACTTTATTTATTTATTTGACAGAGACACAGCGAGATAGGGAACACGAGCAGGGGGAGTGGGAGAGGGAGAAGCAGGTTTCCCACTGAGCAGGGAGCCCGATGTGGGGCTCGATCCCAGGACCCTGAGATCATGACCTGAGCCGAAGGCAGACACTTAATGACTGAGCCACTCAGGCACCCCATGAGGAAGTTTTTAAAAATTATAAGAAAGTATTTTGTACAACTTGCTCACAATACATTTAAAAACCTAGATGGGCAATTTTCTGGGAAAATGAAAATGAGTAATATTAATTGCAGAGGATCTAGGTAAGCCTACACAGACCAATAACCATGGAAAAGAATGGAGAAAGTTGTCAAAGAGCTTCTTTTTTAAAAAAAAAAAGATTTTATTTATTTATTTGACAGAGAGGGACACAGTGAGAGAGGAAACACAAGCAGGGGGAGTGGGAGAGGGAGAAGCAGACTTCCCGCTGAGCAGGGAGCCCGATGCAGGGCTCGATCCCAGGACTCTGGGATCCTGACCTCAGCCGAAGGCAGACACCTAATGACTGAGCTACCCAGGTGCTGTGTCAAAGAGCTTCTACCCAAAATAAAAGCATGAGGCCCATGTGTTTTCACAGTCTTATTTCCTTGTCTATTCTTGCACATTTACCTCTTACAGTTGTCCTTTATTTTAATTTTTGTTTTACCGTTTAAAAATGTTTTTGAGTATATGATAAAAGTGGCACCTCACAGCAATGGGAAAAAGATGGACTGTTCAATAAATGGTGATGGACAACTGGGTAGCCAGGGTGAAAAAAAAGTTGGATCTGTATCTCACACTGTATATACCAGGATAAATTACAAAGGAGTCAGAGATTGAAATGTAAAAAGGGGAAACCATAAATGTACCCTAGGAAATCATAGAATTTCTTTATAATCCTGGAGTACAGAAGCCCTTTCTAACTATGAAAATTCAAAAGCCATATAGTAAAAGGTAGTTAAGTTTGCCGACATAAAAAATAACTTCTCCCTTTGTTACACCATACACAGAAATGAATTCAAAATGGATCATAGAACTAAATGTAAGAGTTGAAACAGGAATAAATCTTTGTGACCTTGGGTTAGGCAAAGCTTTCTTAGATATGACATCAAAAACCCAACCAACAACAATAACAACAAAAAATATATGTATCAAATATGTTTGTATGTATAATTGGACATCGTCAAAGTTAAAAAAACTTTTGTGCTGCAAATGATACTATCAAGAAATGAAAAGACAACTAATAGAATGGGAGAAAATATTTGCAAATCATTTATCTAATAAGGGACAGGTATCCAGAAGCCAGGCACAAAGGGCCTCATCTTGTATGATTCCATTTATAGGAAATGTCCGGACTAGGTAGATCTCAAAAGACAGAATAGATTTATGGTTGCCTAGGGCTGAGCATTGGAGGGTTGCAGAGAAGTGGGGAGTGAGGGCTAAGGAGGGTGTGATACCTTCTTGGGTTAATGAAAATATTCCAAAATTGATTGTTCTGATAGATGGACAATTCTGAGTATACTAAAAACCACTGAACAGTATAAATGAGTGAGCTATATGGTATGTGAATTATCTCTCAATAAAACCATTAAAAAAATCAATAACTTGCATGATAAAAAGCACCAAAATCAAAGATAGGAGACAATATACAAACTGGAAAAATATTTGTAGTTTATATCATAAAAGAGTTTTTTCCTTAATTTATAACAAACTCTTAGAGATTGATTTTAAAAAATGACATATCTGATGAAAGGTTAGTATCCGAAATGTATAAACAACTTATCTGGGATGCCTGGGTAGCTCAGTCAGTTGGGCGTCTGTCTTTGGCTCAGGTCACGATCCCAGGGTCCTGGGTTCAAGCCCCGCATTGGGCTCCCTGCTCAGTGGGGAGCCTGCTTCTCCCTCTCCCTCTGCCTGTTGCCTCCCCTGCTTGTGCTCACTCTCTCTCTCTCTGACAAATGGATAAATACAATATTTAAAGAAAAAACTTATCAAACTCCCCAAAAAACAAAAATCCAGTTAAGAAATGGGCAGAAGACATGAATAGACATTTTTTCAAAGAAGACATGCAGATGGCCAGCAGACACATGAAAAGATGCTTAACATCACTCATCAGCACGGAAATGCAAATCAAAACTGCAATGAGATATTACCTCACTCCTGTCAGAATGGCTAAAATTAACAACACAGGAAACAACAGATGTTGATGAGGATGCAGAGAAAGGGGAACCCTCTTACACTGTTGGTGGGAATGCAAGCTGGTGCAGCCACTCTGGAAAACATATGGAGGATTCCTCAAAAACTGAAAAATAAAACTATCCTGTGATCCAGCAATTGCACTACTACAAAAGTAGTGATTTGAAGGGACAAATGCACCATGATGTTTGTAGTAGCAATATCAACAATAGCCAAACTATGGAAAGAGCCCAAATGTCCATTGACTGATGAATGGATAAAGAAGTTCTGGTGTGTATATATATATGTGTATATATGTGTGTGTGTATATATGTGTGTGTATATATATATATGCCCTCACACACCCGGGAATATTACTCAGCCATCAAAAAGAATGAAATCTTGCCATTTGCAATGACATGGATGGAGCTAGAGTGTAGTACGCTAAGTGAAATTAGTCAGTTAGAAAAAGACAAATACCATATGATTGCACTCATATGTGGAATTTAAGAAATGAAACAGATGAGCATGGAGGGAACAAAGAGGCAAACCATAGAAGATACTCTTAACTATGGAGAACAAACTGAGGGTTGCTGGAGGGGAGGTGGGCAGGGAGATGGGTTAAATGGGTGCTGGGTATTAAAGAGGGCACTTATGATGAGCACTGAGTGTTGAATGTAAGTGATGCATTACTAAATTCTACTCCTGAAATTAATATTACACTATATGTTAACTAACTGGAATTTAAATAAAAGCTTGAAATAAAAAGAAAAAGCACAAAAGAAAAATGAACAGGAGAAAGAAAATATAAATGTGTTTATGAACCGTGAAAGGATGCTCAGTCTCTTCCATTATAAGTATGTGGTATGTCTCTTCAATTACTCTAGTCTTATATGATTCTCTAAAGCCATATATATATATGTGTGTGTGTATGTAATTTTTCTAATATAGGTCTTTCTTCTTAAGGTTAATATAAGATATAAAGTTTTTATTGCTATTATGAATGGGATCTTTTTCATTACTTTCTCTAAGTGGTTATTGCTAACCTTGTGTCCGGCTTCCTCATTCTTTTATTAGTTTTATTTGTTTTCTAGTTGATTCTCTTGCTTGGTAGCTGGCCATTTTCTTGGTAGCTGGCCATGTGACCACCATATCAAAACCGGTTTTGTCTCTCTCCTTCCAATACTTTCTTATTACACTGGATAAGAAAATGTTCCCTTATAGGGGTGCCTAGGTGGCTCAGTCAGTTAAGCGTCTGCCTTCGGCTCAGGTCATGATCTCAGGGTCCTGGGATTGAGCCCAGGCTCGATCGGGCTCCCTGCTCAGTGGGAAGCCTGCTTCTCCCTCTTACTTTCCCTCTGTATATGCTCTCTCTCTCTCTTCCCCTCTCTCTCTCAAATAAATAAATAAAATCTTAAAAAATTTTTTTTTAAAAATGTTCCATGGTAGAAGCAATAGTGAATATCTTGCCTTGTTCTGATTTCAGTGGGACAGTGCTATTTAAACTGTTGAGAGTCAGCCAGGGAAACAAGAACTCTTCTGCTTTGTTGGTTTGAGAGTAAATTGGTACAACCTTTTTTAGAACAGTTTAGTGGTACATGTCTTAGGGCCTTACAAACATATAAGCCCTTCACCTCAGCCACTCTACTAAACAACTAAAAATGTGTGCAAAGATATAACTATTAAGGATATTCATAGAGGGACTTTTTGAAATAGTAAAGTGTTAGAAACAGCTTAAATTTGCAATAGCAAGGGATTAGATAAATAAACTATGGTACACACGTTTAATGAAATACCATATAGCCAAATACCATATAGCCACAATACATAAATGTGAGGTAGACTGACATGTAGTGGACAGATGGATATGATCTCTGATGAACTGAAGAAACTAGTTGTAAAGCAGTATGTACAATATGTAGTGTGACTCCATTTTAAGAAGCCAATTTAAATACACATATTTAGAAAGATATATCCTGAGAAGTTAGCAGTGGTTCTCCTTGGTGAGTTTATAGGTGAATTTTTGTGCTTATTTTTGCTGGACTGCCTTTGAAATAAGTGAAATGAGTAATCTTTGAAAAATTTCAATAGAATAAGCCAGTAATATTTGTTAATTAATTACCTTTCATGTACAAATCATACAGAAACATATATGACTTAGGCTGCTTGCTCTATTCATTATTGAACTCTGTATCACAAACTGGGAACACAGTGATGAATAATAAACAGTTTTTGCCTCGTTTCCACCCTTGAAAAAATTATACTCCACTGAGGAAGATGGTTTAAAAAACCCAAGTAGTTACATTAAATATGGTAAATGGTGTTATAGAGAGAAACATAGGGGACTGTTGGAACACAGGGAAGGGCTTAATTTTTTTTGGGGGGGGGCTTAATTTTTTTTAAAGATTTTGTTCATTTATTTGACAGAGACAGAGAGAGAGAAAGAGGGAGAGAGCACACAAGCAGGGGGAGCAGCAGAGGGAGAGAGAGAAGCAGGCTGTCCGCTGAGCAGGGAGCCCGATGCGGGACTCGATCCCAGGACCCTGAGATCATGACCCGAGCCGAAGGCAGACGCCTAAGCAACTGAGCCACCCAGGTGCCCTGGAAGGGCTTAATTTTTAAGAAGTAGTGTTCCTATAGGTTCTCCTTGGTATCTAGGAACTAATATTATGATCTGTTTCTCCAGGCTGTGCTGTCCTCCAGACTCTGCTAAGAAGCTTGTTGGTGAGCCTTTTGTCCTGAGAAAAGCTGTGCCTGTGGATCTCTTCCCCCACACCCTACACTGTGAGCTGGTGCTCCTCTTCACTCGATAAGCCACCTCCTATGGGATGCAGGTTGTTTATTTTTTATTTTTTAAAGATTTTATTTACTTGAGGGAGAGCGAGTGAGCACAAGTGGGATCAGCAGCAGAGGGAGAGGGAGAAGCAGACTCCCCGCTGAGCAGGGAGCCCGATGCAGGGCTCGATCCCAGGACCCTGAGATCATGACCTGAGCCAAAGGCAGACGCTTAACCGACTGAGCCACCCAGGTGCCCCTGCAGGTTGTTTATTAAGGCTGGAATTTTAGTACCTTCCAGGTCTGGCATCTTGCTACATTGCAGTTCCTGAGAGCATTATTGGAGAAACCAACCTTTGGATCTCAAGCAGGAAGAATATACAGGTGCCCCTTGAACAACATGGGTTAGGGCTGCTGACCCCCCTACACAGTCGAAAATCTACCTGTAACTTCTGACTCCTCAAAAACTTAACTGCTATTAGCCTGCTGTTGACTGGAAGCCTTGCTGATAATAGAACCAGTGAATTAACACAGATTTTGTATGTCACATGTATTATATACTGTATTCTTACAAGAAAGGAAGCTAGAGAGAATAAAATGTTATTGAGAAAATACATTTGCTGTATGGTATTTATTGAAAAAAAATCTGTGTATAAGTCCGTCTGCACAGTTCAAACCTGTGTTGTTCAAGGGTCAACTATAGCAGGCCTTCTATCTGATACAGATTTATAACCTTAGTTTTCAGGTTCCCTTGCTCTCACAGATGTTGGCTTGGTTGTGGCCACTCCTCAGCCCTAGATCTAGACTGTTCTTTCCTATTGCTGTCAGCCTGTCATGGCTCCCTTGGTCCTAGTTCAGTCTAATCTCCTCTGTCTGACTGTGTGGTGTGGAGACAATATAACTAAGTTTTTCTCTGCAGCTGGTAATAATAACACATTGACTTGGGTCTCTGTATTTGCTGAGAGATTTTGGTAGATATGTCTGCATTCCTTAAGTGGCCAAGGATTAGAACTAGAAACAAATCTAGCTTTTTTTTTTTTTCAAGATTTTATTTATTTATTTGACAGAGAGAGAGAGAGTGAGAGAGGGAACACAAGCAGGGGGAGTAGGAGAGGGAGAAGCAGGCTTCCCGCCAAGCAGGGAGCCTGATGCGGAGCTCGATCCCAGGACCCCAGGATCATGACCTGAGCCGAAGGCAGACGCTTAACAACTGAGCCACCCAGGTACCCCACAAATCTAGCTTTTTTAATAAAAAGCAGCGTAAACTATAATGTGATTGCAGGGTGACTGCGTGATCTCAGAGCTTCATCCCTTTGGGTTTTCTAGGCTTTGAAGTTCTAGAATACCCTTTAAAAATGGTAGGAACAATAGCACCAATCAGCTCTCACCTATGGAAGGAGAATTGGTTATAGTAGAGACACTGTGGGAAAGAAGATCTTCAAAGAAGAGACTGAATACCTGTAACTGTGCTATGTAGTATGGACGCAGAAAGCTCCACAATCCCCTAATGATCCAGTATATAATAAACTGGATATGGAAACTGACATCCTCTAGTCCATGATTTCTTCAACTCTGGAGTTGTCCTTGGTTACTTGTCCAACAATTTAGATTGTGTTTTAAATCTTTTAACAGCCTAAAGACATGTACAAAAATCTGATTTATAAAATGATATTGGGTCAACTGGTATTTTTCTCGATCCTAAATACTTATGGAGAAGCCTCCTTCTCAGAAAAAAATGTGGCCATTAAAGCTACTACATACATATCCATTTAAAAAATGCTAGAAGGAAATAATGTAAAGTGATAAAAAAAAGTGTTGACTTATGGCAGTCTGATAAGTTTTATTTTCATTTCCCTATTTTCATTTTATGTAATGGGAAAGCGACTTTTCTCTTTTGTTCCTCATATCTGTAAATGGCAAAACTGTCTATTAGTTACCTAAGCCAGAAACCAGAGTTAGGTCTCTCAGTCTCATACCAACTGCCTACAAAGGGGGTTCCACCTGGATATCTTCTGGGTACTCCAAACTCAACATATCTAATGTTGCATGCTTCATATCTCTCCCCCAAACTTGTTCTTGCTCCTGTATTCCCAGTCTTGATGAATATACCAATCTACTCAGTCACTCAAGCCAAAAGCTTGGGAATTATATCTGAGTCCTTCTTCTCTATCTCCTTCTCCCATCCAACATATCACAAGTCTCCATCCCTGTAGGTTACCATCGTTTCTTACCACATTATTGCTCAAAAGGCCATCTTCTTTTTTTAAAGATTTTATTTATTTATTTGAGAGAGAGCACAAGCAGGGGGAGGGGCAGAGGCAGAGGGAGAAGCAGGCTCCCCGCTGAGCAGGGAGCCCAATGCGGGGCTCGATCATGACCTGAGCTGAAGGCAGATGCTTAACTGACTGAGCCACCCAGGTGCCCCTCAAAAAGCCATCTTCTTAACTGATGCTGTGGTATCCACTCTTGCCCCCATCCATTCCATTCTCTATAGCCATAGTGAGTTTTCTAAAATGCCAATGTCATTATGTTTCTCCAGTGCTTAAAATCTGTCATTGGCTTCTTACTGCTTTTAAAAAGTCCAAAATTCTTTTTTTTTAAATGATTTTATTTATTTATTTATTTGAGAGAGAGAGTGAGAGAGAGCATGAGCTTGGGGTAGGGGCAGAGGGGAAGGGAGCAGACTCCTCGCTGAGTAGGGAGCCTGGCTCGGGCTGTGACCCCAGGACCCCGAGACCACGACCTGAGCCAAAGGCAGACACCCAACCGACTGAGCCACTCAGATGCCCCAAAAAGTCCAAAATTCTTGATGCACCCTCAATACCCCTTCATAATCTGGACAGCCTTATTTTTCTATGCATTAAATTCCTTTTCCTGGAAAAGATAAATTTCTTCCAATTCTGGTCCTTTTCATACTCTGTTCCTCAGCTTGGAATGCACTTTTCATTACCTCTTCTGGCTAATTTTACTTATCTTTCTGTTTTTAACTTAGATATTCCCCTAGGAATATAGGATTGGTTGTATAATCAGCTTCCTGCTAATTTTGTTAGTGTTATTATCTTGTAAGATGATTTTAGAATCATGCTTCTGTCATCTTTATCATGAAAACTTTCAAATTACAAGAAAGTTGAAAGAATAGCGCAACGAACACCAATATATTCACCAAGATTCAGCAAATGTTAAATTTTGCCATATTTACTTTATCTGTGTATCTGCTCTTTGGTAAACTATTTGAAAGTAAGTTGTAGACATGCCATTTCACCTTTAATCCCTCAGCATACATCTTCTAAGCAGGACCTTTTTCTGTGTAACTATGGTACATGATACCATAAGCACAGCTAAAAGAAATTAACAGTACCTCACTGATCTTCACAAATATTATCTAATATCTAATCCAGTGCTTCTTGAAGTATGGTTTGCAGACCGCTTGATGGTACACAGGGAGATAAGGAGCTTGGACCATAGTATATCAGTGAACCACATACTTCACTGAGAAAGTATGTCACAAAAAAAGCTGAATAAAACAATGTGCTTAGTGACATAGTTCATTTACATCTATGGGCTGGCTGAGTAGCACTGCTCTGTATTCACATTTCCCCAGCTGTCTCCTAAATGTCTTTTTTTAGATTATTTATTTATTTATTTATTTATTTATTTATTTATTTATTAGAGAGAAAGAGCACAAGCAGGGGGAACAGCACGAAGGAGAGGGAGAAGTAGGCTCTCTGCTGGGCAGGGAGCCTGACGCGGGGCTCGATCCCAGGACTCCAGGATCATTACCTGAACCAAAGGCAGATGCTTAACCGACTGAGCCACCCAGGTGCCCCTAAATGTCTTTTTTAAAAAGATTTTATTTATTTATTAGAGAAGGAGAAAGAAGACTCCCCGCTGATCAGGGAGCCCGATGTGGGACTTGATCCCAGGACCCTGGGATCATGACCTGAGCCGAAGGCAGCCGCTTAACCAACTGAGCCACCCGGGCGCCCTCCTAAATGTCTTTGGTAGCTGTATATATGGCTATATGTTCATATGTTGCATTTGGGTGTGGTGTTTCTTTTAATTTAGAACAGTCTCTCCACTTTTTTTTTTTTTTTAAATGGCATTGACTTTAAGAGACCGGCTCTGCCCCACATTAGGAATCTAATTGTAGTGTCACCAGCCATCCTGTGACTGTCCTGCTTTAAGCACTGGTCCTGTATCCCGGAATAGGATGCTTTGTTTCCTTATGGTGGTGTTTAGCTCTTCCTTCCAGCCCCTGAATTTCCTGTAAATGAGAAGTGCTTGGGATCAGAGGCTTGATTTGATTCGATTAAACCATTTTTTTATAAGAATGCTTCATAAGCAATGTCGTGTGCTTTATGTCACATCTTAGCAGGAGGCATGTAATGTAAGTTGTCCACTCTTAGTGAAGGTGATTATTTAGGTGGTGGCCCTCAGAACTCTCCATGTGATTTTCTCTTTATAATTAACAAGAAATCTGTGGGGTGTTACTTTGGTACCATATGATTGTCCTGTTCCCCAGTAACATCTCACCTAAATATTTTAGCATCCGTTGATTATTGTTTCCTGACTCAGTAATTTGGTTTTCTGATTTTTAAAATGTATTCCCTGGCTTGGTGCTTTAATTGGGGTTGGAAAATGTTGATTTCCTAATTCTGTCATCCAGTCTATTTTTCTTAGCTGGCATTCTTGTGTTTTTTTTTTTTTTTTTTTTTTAAAGATTTTATTTATTTGACAGAGAGAGACACAGCGAGAGAGGGAACACAAGCAGGGGGAGTGGGAGAGGGAGAAACAGGCCTCCCGTGGAGCAGGGAGCCCGATGCGGGGCTCGATCCCAGACTCCTGGGATCACAACCCAAGCTGAAGGCAGATACATAATGACTGAGCCACCCAGGCGCCCCAAGGCATTCTTGTGGGTGGCTCAGATGGTTAAGCGTCTGCCTTCCGCTCAGGCCATGATCTCAGGGTCCTGGGATCGAGTCCCACATCGGGCTCCTTGCTTAGCAAGGAGCCTGCTTCTCCCTTGGCCTGCCACTCCCCCTGCTTATACTCTCCCTCTCTCTCTCTCTGGCAAATAAATAAGTAAAATATTTTAAAAAAGAAAGAACAATGGAAATTGGAGTTGCCATATGTATACCAGTAGTAGCTAAAGTAGCTATAAATTACCAGGAGATTTAAGGGTTTGTACTAAATCTCTTCCAACTGTAAAATATCTAGGTCTAGAGCAGTGGATCACGAACTTCACTGCACATTAGTGTCATCTGGAGAGCAATTTAAAGTACTGAGCCTTGGACCCAGGACATTCCAATTTAATTGGTTTAAGAAGGGTCTTAGGTGTCAGTATTTAAAAAATGCCCTCCACCCCAGTGATTCTCATGTGCTGCCAGGATTGAGAACCAGTGGTCTGGGTGGGGCTTTGCCTTTCAAAGTGTGGCCCCTGGACCAGCAGGATTGGCATCATCACTTAGGAGCTTGTTAGAAATGCAAACTTTCAGACTTCACCCCAACTCGATGAGAAACTGGGGATGGGGCCCACCAAATCTGTGTTGTAACATACTCCCAGGGGATTCTGATGCTCATTCAAGTTTGAGACCCACTTGTTCAGAGCAACTGTTCCTCAACCTTGGTTGCACATTAGAATCACCTGGGGACCTTTCAAAACAGAGGTTCCTGGGTGTCACCTCCTTAGAAAGTCAGATTGCCTTCATTTTGGGTGTGGCCCTAACATCGTTATTTTAAAAACTCCCTAGATGACTCTAATGTGCAAGTAAGGCTGAAAACCATGGTCTGGGGTTTTTGTCTCCAAGCCTGGTATTTGACTTGATGAGTGACAGTGCACATCAGATTGCAGATAAAAAACTAGGTGTGTAATGCATAGACCAAATATCTTGCTTTTTTGCTTCCTCCTCGTCTAGACCCACCCAGGGTCTCTAAGCACTGGTTTGCACTCCTTTGAAAAGATTTTCATCCCTTGAAAGCATTCCCTTTCCCATTCTTCCAGCAGTTATTTTGGTAGGTGTGGTAGAGAGTGGGCTTGAGATACCATCAATTCCTAGTAATTCTAGCCAAGCCTTAAAGTAACCCTCACCCATGGCAAGAGAAAAGTGAGCTCATTTTTTTAAGATATTTTATTTATTTATTTGACAGAGAGAGAGATCGAGAGAGCACAAGCCGGGGGAGCAGGAGAATGAGAAGCAGGCTCCCCACTGAGCAGGAAGCCCAATGCAGGGCTCAATCCCAGGACCCCAGGATCATGACCTGAGCTGAAGGCAGACGCCTGACCACTGAGCCACCCAGGCACCCCGAAAAGTGAGCTCATTTTAACATTAATGTAGGACAGTTGTTTTAAGGAATTCTCCTCAGCCTGCTTCTGACCTGTCTTCAGAACTAGCTTCTTCTCATTAGGCTCAACCTAGAGTTGCTGAACCTCTGAGTGCAATTTTGCCATTGCCCTGAGTGCAGGTTTGGAGTTTTACGTATGGCAGTGGTTCCTAGTCTTAGCTGCGTGATGGACTCATCTGGGAGCTTTTAAAAAAAGCTCCTGGTTCCTGGGGCTTGGTCCCTAACCCCAGATATTCTGATTTAATTGATCTGGGGTATGACTCAAGGATCTGGAGTTTTAAAAGATCCCCCAAGGTGATTATAATGTGCGGTCGGGGTTATTATCCTCCGATTAGGGCTGTGGTTCCCAAACTTGTCTGCATAATAAAATTCCGCAGCGATCTTTTAAAGCTTCCAAAACCCAGGCCACACCCAGCACCAATTAAATAATCACAGCCTCTGGGGTGGGACATAGGAGTTGGTAATTTTGAAGTTTCCCCAGTGATTCCGATGTGCAGCCAAGTGTTGAGAACCACGAGGTTAGGGTATTTGATGGTTTGGGGTTTGGAAGGGAGAAGAGAATTATTGTCATTTGCTGAGCTGTAAGTCTTCCAACCCTTCATCTTCAAAATCACATTGCCAATTTATAATTTACAGGGGCGTCATTGTCATTTTTCTTTTTTTTTTTTTAAGATTTTATTTATTTATTTGAGACAGAGAGAATGAGAGAGAGAGCACATGAGAGGGGGGAGGGTCAGAGGGAGAAGCAGACTCCCTGCTGAGCAGGGAGCCCGATGCGGGACTCGATCCCGGGACTCCAGGATCATCACCTGAGCCGAAGGCAGTCGCTTAACCAACTGAGCCACCCAGGCGCCCCATTGTCATTTTTCTAAGAGCTGTATTTCAAAATGGCATGGCCATAAAATGCAGTCATGAACCAATTGAAGCTCCCTCAGAGCTTACCAATTAATTCAAGTGCAAAAGGACAATTGAAATGGAATATAATTATGTCCCAGACTTAAACATTTTCCATCAGCTGCTTTGGTTCTATCATTATATGTATTTCCACATTATATTTCCCATTGTTTCTTCTCAAAGATTAAGTGGGATGGCAATGCTGACATCCAGCCCAGATTCATTTGGTGGAGGAACATGTCAATATCAAGTCCATTCCTGTTAGGGATCCTCAGAGTACACGGAGGGGGAGAGGCTTTTGTTCTGAGGACCTAAAAAAGGAATTTAAATATTTAAAAGTGTTGGCATTTCCTGCTTGCATTTTACTGATCACCTTGATTTGTAACCAATCCAAGGAATATCTGAGAAGAGAGGTCCTTATTATATATACTTAGCTGTTTAATAGTTTTCCTCCTCCAGCTAGACTGTAAGGTTTGAAGCCATAAGGGCTATCTCCTGTTCGCTGTTGTATCTCTGTTTAGCACCCAGTCCAGTGTCTGAAATGTGCAGGTGCTCAGAGAGACAATATAGCATGCTAGCCAAGAGGACCAGCTTTGGAATCAGTCTGACCTGGCCTTGAATCCCGGCTCCATCACTTACGTGCTGTGTGACGTTGGGTGAGTTACTTAACCTCTCCAACCCTCTATTCCCTGCCCCTCTCCCTGTAAAAGAAGGGTAATAATAGTACGTAGCTCATGGGATTGTCATGACCCATTCAGCAAGACATTATTTGTAAAGCACCTCGCAAATTGCCTGGCTCCTAGTTTGCGTGCAGTAAGGCGAGAGTTATTCTTAGAGTTATTCTCTCTCTCTGGAGATTAACAAGCCAAAATAACCCAATCAGTTTGGTTTCTGTAAGATTTCAGTACTTAATTTCAGGCAAATAAAACCAATGACACATCGGAAAGAGTCTCTTCCCTGTTGGTGTTTGTGTTTCTCAGCATTTATGTTATAGTCAATATTGCAACTTCTAGTAAAAAGTTTAAATAGAGTTTGGAGAAAAAAATGAAGCATAGAAAACAGATAAGGCCATCCCTCTCATTTTGTCACCCTCAAAATATTGGTTACTAAAATAACCCACTTGTCAAATCCCTTTGTACTGCTGTGAGAAGTGCTAATGTAAGACATGTTTTCTGAAAATAACCGTGATGAGGTGTCATGAATTAAGGGCTTTGGTACAGAAGTGATAAAGTTCCCTTCTGGGTAGAATAGCTCAGGATCATAAATTGCACACAACCTCTACTGACTTACCTTTTCCACTTCCTAAAAGGAAACTAGTTTCCAGGGGTGGGTTTGTTTTTTTTAAAACTACACATACTATAAATGCTGCATAGTAGGATTCTAGATTAGATCCTAAACAGAAAAAGGACATTAGTGGAAAAACCGGTGAAGTCAGAATAAAGTCTGTAGTTCAGTAAATAGTATTGTACTATATTGTTAGTGTCATAGTTTTGATCAACGTACCAGAGTTATGTGAGATGTTAATGTTAGGGGAAGCTGGGTGAAGTGTATACAGGAACTCTGTACTACGTTTACAGCTCTTCTGCACATCTAAAATTATTTCGAAATTAAAAAAAAAAAAACCCTAAACATAGTCTTTTAAAAACTAAGCATACTGATTGAAAGCTAATTCTAGTAAAACCAAGTGTGGGCAGGTGTTCAGGCCAGGGCTCCAGGGATAGAATAGTGCTCACCCAGATACCCAGTTATGGGCATATGCATTACCTGTGACAAGGTGACAAGGGGCAGGAGTAGCATGTAGCTATTATTTTACGATAAGGAATTTCTGGCAGCCTATCAAAAAGCAGTTCCTTTCTTTCAGTATAAGTTAGCCTGGTTCAAAACACTGCAGCCTGACCTAAAAGAGGTCCAAATATAAATGCTCCATTCAAACAAATGGATAAAATGGGTGTCAGAATGGATAAAAAAAATAAGACCCATCTACATGCTGCCTGCAAGAGACTCATTTTACACCTAAAAATACGCACAGTTGAAAATGAGGGGATGGAGAAGTATTTATCACGCAAATGGGTGTCAAAGGAAAGCTGGAGTAGCAATACGTATGTTGGACAAACTAGACTTTTTTTGAAGATTTATTTATTTATTTGAGAGAGAGAGAGTGCACACAAGCTTGAGTGCATGAGTGGGGGGAAGGGCAGAGGGAAAGAATCTCCCCGCTGAGTGTGGAACCCAACGCGGGGCTCGATGTCACAACCCTGAGATTACAACCTGAGCCAAAACCAAGAGTTGGACACTCAACCAACTGAGCCACCCAGGTGCCCCTGGACAAACTAGACTTTAAAACAAAGACTGTAACAAGAGGTAAAGGAGGACACTATATCATAATAAAGGAGACAATCCAAAAAGAAGACATAAAAATTGTAAGTAGCTATGCACCCAACATGGGAGCACCTAAATATATGAAACAATTATTAATAGACATAAAGGAACTAATTGATTATAATACAATAATAGTAGGGGACTTTAACACCCCACTTACATCAGTGGACAGATCATCTAACCAGAAAATCAACAAGGAAACAATGGCTTTGAATGACACACTAGACCAGATGGTCTTAACAGATATATTCAGAACATCCCATCCTAAAACAGCAGAATACATATTCTTTTCAAGTGCATATGGGACAGTCTCCAGAACACATCACATATTAGGTCACAAATCAGGCCTCAACAAATACAAAAAGATAGAAGTCATACCACGCCCCTTTTCTGACAGCAATGCTATGAAACTAGAGGTCAACTGCAAGAAAACATTTTGAAAGACTACAAATACATGAGGTTAAGCAACATGCTACTAAACTATGAATGGATGAACCAAGAAATCGAAGAAGAAATGAAAAACTACATGGAAACAAAAGAGAATGAAAACACAGTGATCCAAAACTTTTGGGATACAGCAAAAGCGGACCTAAGAGGGAAATATATAGCAATATAGGCCTACCTTAAGAAGCAAGAAAAATATCAAATAAACAACCTAACCTTACACCTAAAGGAGCTAGAAAAAGAACAACAAATGAAGCATAAAGCTAGCAGAAGGAAGCAAATAATAAAGATTAGAACAGAAATAAATGATATAAAACTAAAAAAAAGCCTATTAAAACAGATCAATGAAACCAGGAGCTGGTTCTTTGAAACAATTAATAAAATTGATAAACCACTAGCCAGACTTAACAAAAAAGAAAAAGGAAAGGACCCAAATAAATCACAAATGAGAGAGAAATAACAACCAACACCAGAGAAATATAATTATAAGAGGATATTATGAAAAACTATATGCCAACAAATAAGACAACCTGGGAAAAATGGATAAATTCCTAGAAACATGAACTACCAAAACTGAAACAGGAAGAAATAGAAAACTTGAATAGACTGATAACCTGCAAAGAAATTGAATCGGTAATCAAAAAGCTCCCAGCAAACAAAAGTCCAGGGCCAAATGGCTTCACACGTGAATTCTACCAAACATTTAAAGAAGAGGTAATACCTATTCCTTTCAAACTATTCCAAAAAGTAGAAAAGGAAGGAAAACTTCTAAATTCATTCTATGAGGCCAGCATTACCCTGATACTAAAACCAGATAAAGACTCCACTGAAAAAAGAACTACAGGCCAATATCCCTGAGGAACATGGATGCAGAAGTTCTCAATAAATATCAGCAAACTGAATCCACCAATACATTAAAAGAATCATTCACCATGATCAAGTGGGATTTATTCCAGGGTGGTAAGGATGGTTCAGCATTTGCAAATCAATCAGCATGATATACCACATAAAGGATAAGAACCATGTAATCATTTCAATAGATGCAGAAAAAGCATTTGACAAAGTACAGCTTCCATTCATGATAAAAACCCTCAACGAAGTAGCTTTAGAAGGAACATACCTCAACTGAATAAAGATCATATATGAAAAACCCACAGCTAATATCCTCCTCAATGGGGAAAAACTGAGAGGTTTTCCTCTACAGTCAGGAACAAGACAGGATGCCCACTCTCACCACTGTTATTTAACATAGTACTGGATGTCCTTGCCACAGCAATCAGACAACAAAAAGAAACAAAAGGTATTCAAAATCATCAAGGAAGTAGTAAAACTTTCACTATTTGCAGATGACATGATACTCTATATAGAAAACCCAAAAGACTCATCCAAAAAATTGCAAGAACTGATACATGCATTCAGTAAAGTTGCAGGATACAAAGTCAACATACAGAAATCTGTTGCATTCCTTTTTTTTTTTTTTTTTTTTTTTTTAAGTAGGCTCCATGCCCAATGCAGGGCTTGAACTCACAACCCTGAGATCGAGACCTGAGATCAAAAGTCAGACACTCTACCGACTGAGCCACCCAGGCGCCCCTGTTGCATTTCTATATACCAATAATGAAGCAGCAGAAAGAGAAATCAAGGAATCAATCCCATTTACAATTGTATCAAAAACAATAAGATATCTAAAAATAAAACTAATAACTAAGGTGAAAGACCTGTAATCTGAAAACTATGAAACACCGATGAAAGAAACTGAAGATGACACAAAGAAGTTTTTATTCCATGCTCATGGATCAGAAGAACAAATATTGTTAAAATGTCTATACTACCCCAAGAAATCTACACATTGAATGCAATCCCTATCAAAATACCAACAGCATTTTTTCATAGAGCTAGAACAAACACTCCTAAAATTTGTATGGAACCACAGAAAACCCTGAATAGCCAGAGCAACCTTGAAAAAGAAAAGCAAAGGGGGAGGCATCACAATTACAGGGCTTCAAGTTATTACAAAGCTGTAGTGATCAAAACAGCATGATACTGGCACAAAAAATAGACACATAGAGCAATGGAACAGAATAGAAAACCTGGAAATGAACCCACAACGATATGGTCAATTAACCTTTGGCACAGCAGGAAAGAATATCCAATGGGAAAAAGACAGTCTCTTCAACAAATGGTGTTGGGAAACTGGACAGCTACATGCAAAAGAATGAAACTGGACCGCTTTCTTATACCATACACAAAAATAAACTCAAAATGGATGAAAGATCTCAATGTGAGACAGGAAACCATCAAAATCCTAGAGGAGAACACAGGCAGTAACCTCTTTGACATTGGCCATAGCAACTTCTTTCTAGGTATGTCTCCTGAGGCAAGGGAAACAAAAGCAAAAATAAACTGTTGGGACTTCATCAAAATGAAAAGCTTCTGCACAGTGAAGGAAACAACAAAACTAAAAGGCAACCTATGGAATGGGAGGAGATATTTGCAAATGACATATCTGATAATGGGTCAGTATCCAAAATATGACTTCTAAAAGGCAACAACCAAAAGGAAAAATAATCTGATTAAAAATGGGTAGAAAACATGAATAGACATTTTTCCAAAGAAGACCTACAGATTGCCAACAGATACATGAAAAGATGCTCAACATCACTTACCAGGGAAATACAAATCAAAACTACAATGAGACATCACCTCACACCTGTCAGAATGGCTAAAATCAACAACGCAGGAAACAACAGGTGTTGGCAAGGATGCGGAGAAAGGGGAACCCTCCTACACTGTTGATGGGAATGCACACTGGTGCAGCCACTCTGGAGAACAG